ACAACTTGTGTGCAAGAAGAAAAGGATGTATCATATTCTTCCAGTAGCCATAGTTGGTTGGTGTGAGGTTGAAGGCAAACTTGTGGGAGTAGTGGGATTTCTTTTCATCGGTTGTGAAGCTGGCAATAAGAGCCATGATCGCTGAGAAGAATGGTGAAGAAGATCGATGCTAACCCTAGCTGTTTATTGGATTGAGTGGGGAGCAAGAATCTTTCGGCTCTGATACCATAAAGAGCCGTAAGTTGTATGTTGTATTGATATCACGTAATAGGGTTACATAGACATATATATGATATTAACAATTACATATAAGTACCCTCTAGTCTATATTATTGTAATTTTGTCTAATAAGTCCTTAGGTTCATCTAGTCAAGCATATTTCTCAAGTTAATCAAACGTACCACCTTTATGGACTTGGTTTGGGGTTCTAGGTTCAAACCCAAATGATCAAACATCTTTAACGCCATGTCCTTGAATGGTCCTTCAAACTGTTAGGATACATAGATTCCAATGTCACTTCATACCTCCACTGGGACGGGACTAAGGTATTCTCGAGACCATAGGTCCTAATTGCAACTCTTTTTATGTATTGGTCGGTGAAGGATCCACAATAATTATGACTAAAACATGACATTCCACTCTTCCAACTAATTCTCATCATCCTCCACTTAAAAAAATTTCTTGTTACTCCTCAAATTGTTAAAAATCTTATCTATGTTCATCGTTTTACTCGTGATAACAAATATTATATAGGATTTGAAGAATTTGGCTTTTCTTGAAAGATTATTGAACTCGTCAACCCCTCCACCAATGTGACAGCAGTGGAGAACTCTACCTAGTCACCACCTCCACATATCAAGCTCGTGCTACTTGTGGACCTTTGCTTTGGCATCAAAGACTTGATAATCTCGGCAATCCAACTTTTCAACATTTGTTATCGAGTTATTCAGTTTCATGCAATAATAATATGTCTAATGCAATTTGTCAACCATGTCAGCTAGACAAACATGTTAGACTTTTCTTTTTATTTATTCTAATATGTTGTTCATTTTCCTTTTGAAATTGTTTACTTTGATATATAGACATCCCCCGATTCATAGTCATAGTGGAATAAAATATTATATCATGTTTTTGGATAAGTTCTCTCAGTTTATGTGAGTGTATTCGATTCCTTTAAAATCGGGTGCTTTTTTCAAGTTTCTTCATCTCCATGTTTATGTTCAAAATCAATTCAAACGTGACACTAAAACCTTTTAACGTGACAGTATGTATGAATATGACAACCTTCTCCCGCAAATTATTTTGCTCCTTATATACAAATGTCTTATAATTTTTTCAAAATTATAAAACGGCACAAAATCATTAAGAAAAGAGCCACTTTTTTTATCAAAGGACTTTAAATTTTTAATTAAATAAGAAATGCATTTGTCTAAAATAAAGATTGGTTTATGATGAATCAAATTTATTGTTTAGCAATCTGATTTTAAACGTATAGCATAACATCTTAATATTGATTTTAAAGATGTATTTCTTGAAATATAAATACATTTAGAATACGTTGATGTTACATATAAATTATAATATATGTGAATTTTGATTATAAATCTTTAATATGAGATCATAAATGGTTTTAAAATTATATTTTTATAAATAGATATTTTCTAAATCATAGAATTTAAAAGGAACAGTCTGATCTGATTTATGGAATGCAGTCTCGTGGTTAAATGGTTTGACTCGCGACACCTGAGACCGACTGTTTAATTGAAGATGGCCGGAAACTGGTTGCTGCCGGCGGAAACCACCAGTAGCGGTCGCCCAGTTCTTCAGCCTGGCGAGGTCGAGTCCTCCCTACAACCCACCGTCGACTTGGTCAATGAAGAAAACCCCAATTTGCCGATTTTCAAGTCCGGTCTTCTCATTCTGACCACCTACCGTCTCCTCTGGCTCCCTAACCCTGAATCAACTACATCCGCTCCGACATCAAAAGCGGTGGCAGTTCCTCTTGCTGCCGTCACTCACATATTTCAGTCTAAGAAGTCCATTAAGGGGATGTTTGCCAGTCCTAGGGTTAGGTTCCAGGTATCGGTTACGCCTGATGGAAGAGTACAGGAGAGGGGTTCTAAATCCGCTGTAATTACATTAGTTTTTCGAGGGAAATCGGATCCCGATTCCTTTGTGGGGAAATTCTACGAGGCTTGGAGGGGAAGAGCATGGGTAGGTGCAGTTTCGGCTTCTAGCCAAGGTGAATCAAGGCCAGTTGTGTTGGGTGATGGTGGTGGATCAAGTAGCAGCGATACAGGATTCGCGTTGAAAATGCCGGTGGTTGGGGTTTCCGGAATACTGAGAAAGGAGCAAGAAATGTGGGAGAGTACTGATAAGAGCTTGCAGGATGCATTTCAGGACTTGAATGCTCTCATGGTATGTAACGACATCTCATGGTTTTGAACATATAACTATTGTGAGTGCATATAAGTTGAGTTTTAATTGTTTGTTACTTTGTTCTTCAGACTAAAGCTAAAGACATGGTGATACTAGCTGAAAAGATGAGGCAAAAACTTCTTTCTTCCTCTTCCTCCTCAAGTACTCAAACCAATGCCACAAACGATGAAGAGATGAGTTCCAAAGAAGAGATGCAGGAGTGGTTGTTAAGTGTTGGTATTATCTCCCCTGTTACAAAAGAGTCAGCTGGGGCCTTGTACCACCAACAGTTATCTCGTCAGGTTTTACATCTTCTTTTAAGTCGTCAGAAAAACATATAATTTCATTACAGTGGATAACTTCCAAATTTGACAGTGCTTCATCTTCTTCATTATAAACTTAGTTGGCTGATTTCGTGAAAATTCCATTAGAGAAAGCTGGGGGAATAATGAATCTCATAGATATCTACTGTCTCTTCAATCGTGCCCGTGGAACAGGTTCTTTACTGTCTGGTATTTCAATCTCTTCATATCAAAGAACAACACACTTCTGATTCCTTGTTTTCTTTCCTTACAGAGTTGATTTCACCTGATGATTTGCTTCGTGCATGTTCACTATGGGAAAAGTTTAATGTGTATGTACAAACTACAGTAGCCTTGCATCTCATTCTGTTTTAGAATCAAGACTTATTAAGCTGTATTTATCTAAGTCCAGTTACTATGTTGATTTTTATTGCAGTCCAGTAATGCTTAAGAAGTTTGAAAGTGGGGTGATGGTGATCCAGAATAAGTCACACAGTGATGAAGAGGTAAAGAAGTCGTTTTACATGTTACATTGGTTATAAAGGATATGTCGCTTGTGAGGGTTTACTTGAGAATTATACTTGTGGAAAAATAAATGTAGGTATTTTCTAGAATCAGAACACTGGTACAAAATCCTGATGCCCTGCAAACTGGGATCAGTGCCACTGATGCTGCAAGGATGCTTGGAATTGCTCCAGCTATGGCCAAGGAGCATCTGCTTGCTGCTGAGAGCAAAGGTATGTTATTGGTTTGGATTTTGGAAACAAGTCATTTTGTTAGATTTTAGTAGCAATAGCATAGTATCTAACAAAAAAAAAAAATGCTCTCGTCAGGTTTTCTATGCAGAGATGTGAGCCCTGATGGTTTTCGTTTCTACATCAACATATTTCAAGACATTGATCCCAATGACTTATACTTGTAAGTAACTACCTACACATTTTATCTTGAATCTACAACAACACATAGATATAGATATTTTAGTAAACCTGATGTCAAAATTGATATAAACCTATCATGATATAACCTAATGGGAAAATTGGTTAAATTAAGGAGAGACATTTATAAACATTATGTCTTTCTTTTGTTTACACCTTTGTCATCTTATTTGTTTCATGAGTTGTTAAAATTTTTGGTGGTTGTGTAGGGTGAAAGAGTATGGTATATATGATGCATGGAATCGTGCTGCAATTGCTTCCAGGTAGGTAGGTCCCATTTGGTTTTCACTCAAACTCAAATTTATTAGAGGGTTGTGACTTAACATAGTTTCTTTACACCTACACAATTGTTTTGTTACAGGTAAAAGGCTGGACAATCACTAAAAGTTCCTCGTGGGGACATGTGTTATGACACAACAGCTTGATATTGCTAGAGTTACATCTACATTTTGCACTAAATTCAAAGTTGCTAGCTACGAGGTTAGAGGTAGGTAGGGAAGAGCACCTTTCAAATTTCAATGTTCATCAAGAATCAAGCTTGGCATGTTTTCAAGGACAAAAGAATAAAGTGGTGAAAGATGGTGAATGTAAAAGCATCTTAAGATGATGTTATACTTTTATTTTTTTGATTTAATTAAACAGAATTACAGAAAGGAACATCATGAGTACTTAACCAGTTGAGTTGAGTGAGTAAATAGTTTTTACACAGCCTCCCTCAAGGGTTTGTTTTTATTTTTTATTTTTTTGTCAAGTGTTATCTGGGACAAATTGTATGTATGAACAAAATTTGGTTTGGTTTTACTTTTTACCGAATGAGTTGACATATCACATACACAGACCATGTCATCAGAAGCGTCATTAAAATCAAACCTTAATGAAGACTATGAGGCGAGGTGTTGTACTATTTTTGGACAACATAGAGATGCTTACTTTTTGCCCCTTGACATATATGACTATATTTAATACAATAACATTGTATTAAATGCTCTCGAGGATTTCATTTAGTGCGTTCAATATTGTAGTAGTGAAAAGGGTTAAAAAGTCCCAACTCATTAATTCAAATTACAACCGGACGAATTAAAGGTCTCATCTTTGGAGTTTGAAGACAATTTTTATAAATACAAATACCATTAAAGTTCTCATTGATGACGTCTTTACACATTTATTTCAAGAAAACCATTTTAGACTTGCAGACATTCAAGTCCAGTTCTCAATGCGATAACAATTGCATCAAGATCATTTATGTGATCTTTGCATTCTCATTATTTATATTTTAGAATGTTAAAGCATGGTGTGTGTGTGTGTGAGAGAGAGAGGGAGAGAGATTCACAATTGTGTCGATAACATCAAAGATTATCAAGAACTGTACATAGATAAATATTTACAATGAATGTCCCAACAAAAACCCACACATAACACAGCACAGCAATTGGCTTGGTAATAATATGCAATGCTAATGAATCAATGGTCGCTCATTTGTGGTTGTGATTTGGTTTTCGAGATAAACTTGGAAGGAGGAGATCTGGACAAGGCAAAATTCCCTTTGTCATCTACTTTTCCATAAGAAGATAGACTAGGGGCCATCACTATCCTGCATTTGCTTGATGTATCACACCCCATTTCAACACCAAAGTATGACAAATGATCTGATATACTGTTTCCAGATACTGATCTGAAATATTCATTTCTTCATCAAAACCTATCCACCAATATATATATATATATATATATATATATATATATATATATATATATATATATATATATATATCAATGACGGGTGTGGCTAAATTATTACCTGCTACAATCAGGGTCTTCACCAGATCCATCACATATCTTCTCAACTTCATAAATAAGAAATCCAAATCCAAGATTATACAGCCACACCTGCAAGAATCAGAATGCATTAATTATTTAGTTATAAGACTAGTGAGGGAAGGGAACAAGTCCAGAATTAAGGTTACCTCTCTTGGAAAGTGATGATAGGTCTTATGTGGTAAGTGCTGATAATAAGGGGGCAGATGTGGTACCAAATCATGTTCATGTGTCACTCTAAATGTATTTGGTACAACTTCACTATAATAAGATGCAAATGCAGCATTCCCAATTCGTGGCTGCCCAAATGTCATCACCTCAACATTATTCCCTCCATAAATCAGCTGCATTTATTTTATTTTTTAATTTTTTAAAATATATTCTTCAATTTACCTTCAAAAGATAAAACATATTATATATCACCAACAAAAATATATATATTATTATTACTACCGCAAGATCAAGCCCACAAAAAGCAGCCATGGCCCCACCCATTGAATGCCCAGTCACCATAATCTTGAGGTCTCCATACATCTCTTTTGCTCTACTAACACCATCTAGAATTCCAGACCTCACAATTGTATTATTGTAAGCATTAAAAAACCCATGATGCACCTGAAACAACAAAAGATGAACCAATCATCATCACATCACAAATTCACAATAGCATAAACATTACTAAAATAAAACACCCACCTTCCCATCTGTGCATCCAGGATATTCAAAATCAAGCTGTTTCCAGAATAAGTCCTCAATCCAATTCTGTATACTGTAACCATGCCAGTCTTCATGAGAAACGATAATCTATAAATAAAAGATCATCAAATAACAATAAACAAACACCTGGTTTCTTGAGTGCCTCTGAATGCAATAACAATTGCATCAAGATCATCTGCAACCCCAACAAAGGCCTGAAGGCAGTTCTCAACATCAACAATCAGCTCTAAAACTTCAAAACCCTGATTCAAGATAACAACAAAATCAGCATAATTTGAAGAGTACTGTTTTTCAGTTTTCATGTATTATAATTATAAACTGCCAAGTACCGTGGTCAGGCCATCACATCTTGAACAGGTCCAAGTAAAAAGTTGTGTTAAATCTGACATGTAAACCTGCATTTTGGTTTATCATTAATTGTTCTACTTAACTTAATTACTCCATAATATCCCATAGTGTCATGTTGAGCTTACTGCAGAAGCATATTCCACCAGAATTGTGGCGAGTGTGTGATTGTAAAGTGGTGAGGGAACCTTATTCTTGATTTCAAGTCCTGTGTCCATAAAAAAAAAAAAAACTTAATGAATAAGTAAATTCGTGGTACTTTCTGAGCAAAAAGAAACCCCAACACAGAGATGTAGACATCTACAGATCAAAAAAAAGATTCTAAATACATAATCAATGGTGGTTGCTCTTATGTTATCGACTCTCATTCCCCAATATCCAATTGAATAAAGTTTTAACCCTAGTGTACTCAAAAAGGGTAAAAACATGGAAAAGAATAATTGAGGTTACAGAAAGTCTTCGTACTGTCACCTACATGGCCCCTCACCAAAAGGCAAATGAAAGTTTGTGTATAAAGGCTCCCTACCCCATCTCTGAAGAAGCAAAGAACCTTGGTGAGGTAGCTTTTTGTGTCATTATAAACCAATAATGAACAAGCTAGAAACACAAACACTAGGGCACCGAGAAATCAGAACCTAAGTAAGGTACATCAATTATTACCTCTGCCAGTTGAACCAGCAAATAAGCACATGATAATCAGCAACGTCACCCACCGTCTTCGCTCCATATAAACTGCAAACAAGTTCCAGAACCGTCAAACAAGTGTTGGATTGATCTAAAATCCAAAACCCTCGTTGTAGACAGAAAACAAACGAACAAACCAAACAAGAACAAAAGGTTGAAGATTATGAAATATAACAAGAATTAAATACGCTGCTTCAGGGTAAAACACAAATACAAACCTAATTCCCAGATCGCCTTGGCAGCCCTCGAGATATGGGGATGAATTGCAATGACAAATTGGTGATTATGTTGCCCCAATTGTAGTCTTGGATTGAAATTTTTAGTTTTCCGAGAATTTTCTATCTTCGTTCAATTGCTAACGTAAAAACGGAAGATTAATATTGGAAGCTTTGGAGTGATAAGGACGAGAATCAATGGCGTGTGCTTGGTGTTCATCTACCAGATGACTTCTAATAGGGCGGTTTTGAACGGTGAATTGTATTTATAAGCGGTACAATATTCGGTATTTGATGATCGTAACAACTTTTTTTTGGGCTCGCCACAACTTGCAAACAATACCAAAGTACAAATAATTGCATCATACCATAAACTTTTTTATAAGTTCGTCATAACATAACCGTTTATTGTAGACAAATTTTAAAAATGGCCCTTGTTGTTTCTAAAAGGTATCAATTCCAGGACAAGGTTGCTAAGCTATTCCGCTGATTCTTAGGCTAGAGGGGGATTGGTGTTGACACATGCCACATCAACTTTTTGCTAGCCCCCTAAGCTTTTGCCAAAAAAAATTTCGGCACCAACACAGTCAATGAAGGTAGTTCCCCATTATGATTTCTTTTACTTCCTCTAAATCCAGCTCGTCATCAATAGTTTGGTCAAAATGCCTAAGTTTCTAGTATCAACAGGTATGTACTACAACAAAATCACGTTTCTAATTTAATCTAGAACCTTTTTTTAAAATCTAACATTGATTTTTTAGTGGATTGATTGGTCGTTGAAGAAAGAATAATGAGATAACCAAATGGAAGGGGAGGCAAAAACGTTCATAGATGGCAAGTTTAGATATTATTTAGAGGATGTTTGTAACACCGTAATTTTTCAAACAAATTTTTCATTTTAAAATCATATAATTCTCATAACACATTTCATAAAAATCTCATTGGTTTAATTTACAAAACACGACTCCATAATTGTTTGATTAATAATCCAGGATCCTCAAAACATAGCTCTTTCACTGGTGTGTACAATCAAGCATGTGCCTTCCCCCGATCATGAGAAACCTGAAACACATAACACATAAAACGGTAAGCACGAAGTTTAGTGAGTTCCCCAAAATACCACACACACAGCTCATTAGCCACTCGAGGCTATATCACTGTAAGACCCTCCGTTCAATGTGTCTCGGTGGGACCCTCCAGTCCCACAGTTCGTTGGACCCTCTGGTCCGGTCTGTAAAGCTCCGCATGGCATAAATCACAAAGACATAATGCACAGCATAAAACATAAAGCAGGATAACATAATACTCAATGTAGGCACATAAGACCCTCAGGTCACACATAAGTACCACTCTAGGTAAAGTATAGTGAGAAGACTCACCTTGCAAGCAACAAGCAATCACCCTCGAACTCAAATCTCGAACTAGCCACTGCCTAACACATAGGGTAAATATCTCTAATTAATACTCGATTCTCAATAACCAAATGTTATTCTTCTCTCTCTAACTCTTGAATTGGGTAAAAGACCATTTTACCCCTCCATGGTCTCCATTACTCATGTTGACCAAACCCTAAAGTCAACAGAAGTCAAACTCGAGTCAACAGTCCATGTTTGACCCGACTCGCCGAGTGCACTAATGCGACTCGTCGAGTCCACTCGTTCCTCATAAGTCTCGTGAAGGTCTAGCTCGTCGAGTTAACCCCTAACTCGCCGAGCTATTGCACGGTCTAGCTCGTCGGGACAAACCCTAACTGACTCGTCGAGTCAGTTCATGGGCTCGGCGAGTCCCTTTGATCTGATTTCTCATTCAGACGATTTAAGGCAGATCTATCACTCTAAACACTAGATTTACTATCCTAAGGCTCGATTGTCACGTAAAGCTTCGATCTTTACGCTCATGCATGGTGGTTTTGCTCCAATCTACCAATACATGTTCTCACAAGGTGTTAAACACCATACTCCTCTCATGGATGAATAAAGTTGGGACCTTTGGGCTCTAGGGACCTCACAAGGTCCGGATCTGAGGTTTAAACCTCTTGATAACTTAGTATTCTCGAAGTCCCAAATCATATGTGGTGAAAACCCTAACTTCTCAAACTCATGAGATCCAACTAATAAGATGAGAAAGGTGTAGACTTTATACCTTCTACAGAAGCTCCAGGTGAAGAAATGCTAGATCCCATAGCCTCTTCTCGTTCCTTGCTTGTTGCTCACTCCTTTCCTTCCAAAGATTCACCAAAAACACTTGATATTAGCTCAAACACTCTCTCTTATCTTCAATGGCCGCTAAGGGTTTCACACAGGAGAGTTGGGCAGCTGGTGAGGCGCATTTGAGGTTATAAGTTTCCTTAAATAGGCCCCAACCCCCGGGAATTTAGGGTTTCCTCACACAGCACCAACTCGGCGAGTCGGCATACTGACTCGTCGAGTCCGCTCATTAAACCCACGCGGATGACTCGACTCTACTCGACGAGTTGGACTCACAACTCGTCGAGTCGCTCCATAAATCTCAGAATTTACTCTTACAATGATATATCTAAAAATCCGGATGTTACAATTCTCCCCAACTTGAATTAGATTTTTCCCTCGAAATCGCTCCTCCACAACACATAGATCGAACCCAAAATCCGAGAGCACCACCGAAATGATCTCATACCACACAGCTAACTTCCTCCATGGACACCTGAATCTAACAGGAACTCCCATCCCGGAAAAGGACACGCCCTTTTGCCGCTACGAAACCTTCTTCTGACTCTCCAGAATCTGGAAACTCTAGTGGCATGTCTCACTGCCAAATCGCCCTCTCAAGACATCACCATGTTATTCGCTCCTCGAGTAACAGTCCTCGATAACTCACTGTCCCTCTGATTCTCTCGTTGCGACTGATAAAAACAAGTCAATGCCCAAGAATTGGCTACCGATCACTCATACCAGACATATTAAACAATCCAGATCATACTCCAAGGGATGAAAGGGTCACATCACACCAGGGACCCGCTCATTGAACTACAATCAAAACCCATCTGAACAAAACGTACCCCAATACTCTGTTCTTAATACAAGAAAAAGATCATGCCCGTTCAGAGGTGTCCTCGGACCTCTATGAGCATAAGTCCCGTCTCCCTCCACATAACACCTTCAACACTGAGCACTAAATCGACTCTCGACCCAATAGTTGAACCTCCAAAGGTTACCCACTATACACCCAATAAGACGACTTATCGGCTTCCTTCTCACAGTGACCATCTCGGCCCGTCGTGACGCACAAGTCACGAAGTTCGCCTTACCCAAAGCGAATACTACAACACTATCTGAAGTCTCCTCTCTTCCAACCCCTGTCGTCTACTACCTACTAGTTTCGTGTGCCTCGTGGTCCTTCCCGACCCAATGAACTAGCTCACTCAAGTCTAAAACATCAGACGGAAACACATCTCCCTCAGAATGAGATCCACCCGAAATCTCAAACTGCTCGTCCTCTACACAGATAGAACTAAATTCACCCACCAGAGTCTGATCCGACACATAATTGGAACCACTCATCCCAATCTAGCACTCCACTCATGACCCATGCTCCACGATTATACGCACGTATTACACCTCGATCCGTCCGATTCGCGACAACCCTGCTCTATCTCAAAACATGACGGTTTTCGACCACCGTCGAGATCCCAGTTTCGCCTTTGGTTCGGCCCCCAGGTTCTCACAAACTCTTCTGGTAAGGCTACCCATGCCTAGGAGCCGCTCTGCATCATACCCTGACTAATAAGGTTGCGGCCCCCGCAGTCTTGCGATATTCTCTCTTTCTCTCTCGCTAGCTCATGAATGATTCGGCTCCCCGCAGTCTCACAATACTCTCTCTGACTCACGTATGCTACGACTCTCCGCAGTCACACGATACTCTTTTCTCTGACTCACATATGATGCGACTCTCCGCAGTCACACGATACCCTTTCTCTCACTGACTCATGGATGCTACGGCTCCCCGTAGTCTTACAACACTCTCTCACTCACTGACTCGCCATGGGATCACTTCATGGTTTTTCCCCGATAATCCTAAGTGATCACCCCCCCCCTACTCGGATCTACTCGCTCTCTTATCACCTCATAATCTCATCATCATATCATCACTACACTGAGTTCACTAACTCATGCTCCCCAACCCCAACATAGATAGGTGCACCCACCTACTCAGCTTATGCACCACCGCTCCTGATGTAAATTCTTGTAAGCAAGACACTTTTCTCAACACAGGTACACCCTTAGACACTCTCGTTCTGGCGACAATTAACTGATGGGTTCCCACTGGAGCAATAGTCACTCGGCACTCCACTTGCAAACTCAAATCTCAGAATAATCCAAAATTTTAGGGCGTCATACTCAGATACCCCGATACACCATCACTAAATCTCATGATGTCTTGTCTCATACACTGATCTTCCACTCACGACATCATACTCGGATACCACAATACACTCTTTCAAAATCTCAATGTCCTGTCTCATCCACTGATCTTCCACTTGCACAGCTCGCAACCTCGAAATACTCCAACTCACAACTTGACACACGGAGGAATCGTCAATGTCAGGAACCCGTTGACGACCATCCGAAACCCCATCCTCTATGGCTCAAAACCCATGCGAGAATACTCATACCGACTCTGAAGTTGACTGCCCAATCAACATTTACCCTTCCCAGAGTGCATATAACAACCCATACATTGAACCAAAAATTCTCCACCGCCGAAACCATCCTTACGAGCCACCCACCTCGAATTTACCATTACAACCTCGAAGAATTCCTAACCACCACAAGGTTTCCAACCAATGACCACCTGCCGTGGAGACACTCATTCCTTCCTAAACACGTACAACATGCATTATCTCGCTCTGCACCTCGCCTTGATCACCAACAACCCTGGACTCCTGTATCCACACCGCAGGTCACTATATCCAGTCCTCTAACCGCTATTGAATAAACCAATGATACTCTCAATACAATGCCCGGTTCTCCCCCACTCAGGGCTCGAACCATCACCATTTGGCACACCAACCATCTATTCTACAGACTGTCTCACCAGGTACATTACACCTGACTCTTGGATTCGTACAACGCAACACTCGATGATCTTCCGATGCAAACCAGAAATCTGAACTTTGGTAAGAAAGTCAATAAAGTATTGATTTCTAGAAGTCCAACTGATTTCTGAGTACATGTCAAAGCTAGTGTACATGCTTGGAGCATGGGACAACTAGTGTTTTTAATTCAAGTATAAAGTTGATAAAACCGAAACAATGAATAATGAGTAATCAGTATGGTGATAAATAAAAGTGTTTATTTATATTCATAGGGTTTGATACCATATTTGATTAATTTATTCTTCTGTTTCACTTTGCATGTTTTGACTTCCAGAATAACTAAGTCGCTCTTCCTGAATGATTAAGTTATTCAAACCATCCACAGTCGGTCATATGTTGGAAGTAGATATGAATCAAGACTGTCATGGGTTGGTTTGTAGAGGTCCAAGTTGGTGGACAAAGTGGTGCTACAACACTCATGAGTGCTCATAAGTTCTGAGTATTGGATTCAACCCGCGCTCATTTGAATCACTTCATGGATTTTATCACGAGTGATCATGAGACGATAATATCTTATATTCTTCAAACCTAGAGATATGAGTTGTTACTATGAGTTGGTTATACATTGATTGCACGAAAACGCATTGGTAACTCGATGTTATAAAACGTGCCTTTGTGTATGATTCAACAAGTAGTAGAACAAGCCATATGAGTCGAAGTTTATCCATTCCTTTACCTTCGGGATAAAAGCGATATCTGTGGGCCCCTCGATGATTTAGCGATGACACATGTGAGTGCTTGGCCAAGCCAGGACTGATTTGATTTGTTCAATCAGTCAGTCATCATAAATCGAAAATCGGGAAACAACAAATGGACAGAGAGAATGATTATAATCCATGTCTCAGTCCATATGATATCTAGAATGGAGGAATATATGATCCCTTATCTAATGGACAAGTCATTGACAAGGTCAGAGTTCGATTGCCAGTTAGGTTTTGAAGTCATACTCAATAATAGTTTTAGACTTATCCAAGTGGGAGACTATTGGATTAATGTCTAAGTCCATAACTATATTTGGTATATACATGACCCGACCCGGCATGGTCCATTTGGGTTGCACTTCACCGGCACAATTTATATGGATAGTCTTTTGAGAATAGTATATTTATGATTTATATTAATATATTATAAGTTCTAATATATTAATATGGAATCATATTATTTAATTAGTATTGATCAAGAATTAATTTAGACTTAAGTAAGTGATCAAAAAGAACTAATTAAATATGGACTCTTATATATATGGAATGGGCCAAGTTCATTTAGGTTGGGCTAAGCTTTCATGGATGGTCCATGGAGCTTTTAACCCATGGATCCTATGTAAATGAAAGGTCATGGGTATTAGGGTTTACATGGATGTAACCCTAATCCTCCATAATATATAAAGGGGTCCTTGGCTCACAAAATGGGCACAAGTGTGTGAAAATAAGAGTGAGCCGATTTTAGTGTGCATACATATTCTCTCAAGTTCTTCCAAGGTGTTTTGGTGATTTGTGATTCCATTTGAGGCTTCCACACTATTGGGGCTAAGCTCTTAAAGCTTGAAGACATCAAGCTACATCAAAAGGTATGTCATCTAACTAGAACTTTGTAGTATAGGTGCTTCATAATATGCTAGTTAGGATGAAACCTTGGAATAGTTAATATTTACATGTATAATAGAGAAAACATAGATCCAAGGTTTATAGGGTTGCATGTACACCATAGGAGTGTTAGAATGCTCAAAACCTAACACAACCAGCCTCTCATCGCAGAAGCCATCATAAAAGAAAGTGACCTTACTCTCACAGTCGATACACAATGTAGACAACGAGGGCTACCGCCCCAGTATACTCCTCTTGATCACTTGAAACTGCTGCTAAAAGTATGCCTGACTCGACTAAGACATCTCCTTGTCCTTATCTCAGTCTCTACTAATAGCTCTCCCGTGGTATATGGAATACCTCGCAGCAACCATACTGCCCAAACACTCTGGTGAAAAGGTTGAAACCCTATGCTAACCCACAGGGTTTACCTCCAACTCTGAAACTGGAAACTCAATATCTTATTTTGCTTCTCCCATGAAGCGGAAACAGTGCAACTCTCGTCACAGAAAGTGACATCTCAACTATCGGCTGATTGCTCAACTCAGGCCGCAACTCTCCATAAAATCTCATTGCTACTCATCCATGTGTCTTGCGACTCCAACTGGCATCTTACCAAAGAAAATATCTTCAAAACTAACTCGATTTCCCTCTCCAGGTATGCTCCATTAAACTCGCTCGACATGGCCCTCTGGCCCCACACTCTATCATATCTGTTCTCAGTCTAATCAATCACAATGGGATAACTGGTTATGCCAGAAGCACTAGCCACCACGAATCATGGTACTCGAACCATGCAGTCTCCTCTTAATCTGCTACGAATCATGATACTCGAACCATGTTAGTACCCCACTCTGCTACAAATCGCTTCTCAATCTGCTATGAATCATGGTACTCGAACCATGTTATCACTTCTCAATCTGCTACTTAGAACCTCTGGGATTCTTCCTGTTTAGAGTACGGGTCCTCTGCTTTCAGTAGTACGGGCCCATACTACCTGCCACATCTACCCATACTTTCCACACGGATCGTCCCAGATTTCCTAAGTAGATGCTCAACCTCCTTGATCACCAATCCCGATATGTATGGTCGCTATATAGCGAATACTCTCCTCTATCAACGTACTCTTCTGACTAAAGTCACCTCTCAGGCTCTTCTTAGGTTCTCACACTTCTCCGCCAACTCGGTAGTTGACTCCCATCATCAAGAGTTCCACAAAGCACAAAGCAAGCAGCATTCGGGCATCGAATAATCTCCACCAACACGCAAAACCACTCTAGGCTACAACTCCACTTGCTCTACTCACACTCAAAAGGTATCACTAACCTCAAACCCTACACCCTACCTCTCACGGGTATCTCATTAATCCCTCAATAGACCCCTCAATTTCTCATCTAGGTATCTCTCCTAGATTACTCCTCTACTCAAAGTTCTTTCTAAAAGATTCCTGCTGGATACTCTTACTCCTCACATACTCAAAGCACATCACAAATAGCAATAATTTCTAGGCTAAGGCATCACAAATCAGGCATCTCTAGCCCTAAAATATGAAATACCTAGCCTACCTTCTAGCATGCATTACTAATATCTCAATCATAACTTATAACACAAATAAGTAAGGGTACTTTGGGAAATCACCGTTCGGGCTCTGGCTGATTGTACACACTGCTCCTTCTCGTTTTCTCTTAGAAACTCTTACGCGTTATAAAAAATCTTTTTTTTTTGTGAAAACTTTTCTCAAATGCTCAGTTTTGAGTCCAGACTTACCCAAGGTGCATCCGAATCCCTCAAACCAAGGCTCTGATACCAACTTGTAACACCGTAATTTTTCAAACAAAATTTTCATTTTAAAATCACATAATTCTCATAACACATTTCATAAAAATCTCATTGGTTTAAATTACAAAACACGACTCCATAATTGTTTGATTAATAATCCAGGATCCTCAAAACATAGCTCTTTCACTGGTGTGTACAATCAAACATGTGCCTTCCCGCGATCCTGAGAAACCTGAAACACATAACACATAACACGGTAAGCACGAAGTTTAGTGAGTTCCCCAAAATACCACACACACAGCTCATTAGCCACTCGAGGCTATATCACTGTAAGACCCTCCGGTCAATGTGTCTCAGTGGGACCCTCCAGTCCCACAGTTCGTTGGACCCTCTGGTCCGGTCTGTAAAGCTCCGCATGGCATAAATCACAAGAAATAATGCACAGCATAAAACATAAAGCAGGATAACATAATACTCAATGTAGGCACATAAGACCCTCAGGTCACACATAAGTACCACTCTAGGTAAAGTATAGTGAGAAGACTCACCTTGCAAGCAACAAGCAATCACCCTCGAACTCAAATCTCGAACTAGCCACTGCCTAACACATAGGGTAAATATCTCTAATTAATACTCGATTCTCGATTCTCAATAACCAAATGTTATTCTTCTCTCTCTAACTCTTGAATTGGGTAAAATACCATTTTACCCCTCCATGGTCTCCATTACTCATGTTGACCAAACCCTAAAGTCATCAGAAGTCAAACTCGAGTCAACAATCCATGTTTGACCCGACTCGCCGAGTGCACTAATGCGACACGTCGAGTCCACTCGTTCCTCATAAGTCTCGTGAAGGTCTAGCTCGTCGAGTTAACCCCTAACTCACCGAGCTATTGCACGGTCCAGCTCGTCGGGACAAACCCTAACCGACTCGTCGAGTCAGTCATGGGCTCGGGCGAGTCCCTTTGATCTAATTTCTCATTCAGACGATTTAAGGCAGATCTATCACTCTAAACACTAGATCTACCATCCTAAGGCTCGATTCTCACGTAAAGCTTCGATCTTTACGCTCATGCATGGTGGTTTTGCTCCAATGTACCAATACATGTTCTCACAAGGTGTTAAACACCATACTCCTCTCATGGATGAATAAAGTTGGGACCTTTGGGATCTAGTGTTAGATTAATGTCTAAGTCCATAACTATTTTGGTATGTACTTGACCCGATTATGAGCATGGTCCTTTTGGGTTGCCTTCACCATAGCAATATGTAGGATGAATTAAGGAGAAAAAGGTTTAATTATGATTTATTATATAATTAGAATAAGAATAATATATTAAATGAGAATCATATTGTTTAATTAATATTAGTCAAGAATTAATTAAGAAGAATTTAGTGCTAAAAGAGATTAATTAAACTAGGGGGCTGGATTTGTAATTATAAGATAATTGCAATTGGGCTATGGATTACCTAAATAATACAGGTTGGACGAATTCTATGGGAAGCCCATAAGGAATTCGTGCAAGGGATATGTTAAAGGAGTCCAGGGCTGCTTAGGGCTTAAGCAACCATTAGGGTTTCCTAGTTGTAAACCCTAATAGCCTACATGTATATAAAGGACCCTTAAGCCCCAAAAACGTGGTGAACTATTCCTTTAGGGTTTCCAGCCGTTTTTGGTGCCTCCTTTCTCCTCCCTCTTCATCCAAGTTGCTTAGTGGTGTTTGTGACTCCATTAGAGGTGCAACACTTGAGGCACTAAGCTTTCTAAAGCCAATCAAAGCAAGGAATTGATTGTTATTACTATATAACAATCAAAGGTAATTACTAAACCCTTATTTCAGTTCTTATATGATAGATCTAGGGTTTATTATGCTTTGGATTATCAATTGCATGTTCATTAGACAAACTAGATCCAAAGCTATTAGGGTTTGCATATACACCATAGGATTGATGTATTGCTCGAAACCCATCATCTAGGGACCTCACAAGGTCCGGATCTGAGGTTTAAACCTCTTGATAACTTAGTATTCTCGAAGTCCCAAATCATATGTGGTGAAAACCCTAACTTCTCAAACTCATGAGATCCAACTAATAAGATGAGAAAGGTGTCGACTTTATACCTTCTACAAAGCTCCAGGTGAAGAAATGCTAGATCCCATAGCCCTTCTCGTTCCTTGCTTGTTGCTCACTCCTTTCCTTCCAAAGATTCACCAAAAACACTTGATATTAGCTCAAGCACTCTCTCTTATCTTCAATGGCCGCTAAGGGTTTCACACAGGAGAGTTGGGCAGCTGGTGAGGCGCATTTGAGGTTATAAGTTTCCTTAAATAGGCTCAACCCCCGGGAATTTAGGGTTTCCTCACACAGCACCAACTCGGCGAGTCGGCACACTGACTCGTCGAGTCCGCTCATTAAACACACGCGGATAACTCGACTCTACTCGACGAGTTGGACTCACAACTCGTCGAGTCGCTCCATAAATCTCAGAATTTACTCTTACAATGATATATCTAAAAATCCGAATGTTACAATGTTACACAAATTGTCTTTATAAAAGGAAAAAAAAATACAAAAAAGAAAGGGAAATGTAACCATGACCCAACAAACTAACACATTTAATTTTAAAAGGTCCATTTTTTTTGGCATCGTAGGGGTGTATACTTGATTTTTAAGTTTTAAAAAGTCCTTAATTTTGAATTTCTTAACTTGTTGCAGTCAACAAGTTTAATATCCATTTCATTAAATGATTTCACCACTACCATCCATAACCACTGAAGCCACCATATACAACCACCTGATGTTAACAACTACCAGAAGCTAACAACGATGAAGAAAACATTAATGGTAGCAGAGATATTGCAACTTGGTAATTCCAACTATTCGGAATCACTCTGCAGCAAAATCCTGAATCATAATATGGGAAGGATGTGAAATATTTGTAGTGGAATCAATCTACACCTACATGAAAGATTTCAGGTCACCACCAACACCACCATCGGACACCTACCTCTCCCACCACCGTCCACCATCATTGTGAACACATATTGAAAATCTAATAAACCCAGAACACTAAAAAGCCCAGGAAAATTCAGATAATCTACAATCAAACATTAATCCAAACCACCACCGTCTCTAACAAAAATCAAACCAATAATCCTGTTGTTTGGAAGTGAAGGGGTGAAACAAAAACCAACCTTTCAATACTTGTCCCATGACCATGACTAGGTTCTTAGCGACCACCATCTGTGGTGGATTAGCAACCATCGTCACCGTCGTTTGTAGCGGATCAAAAACCAATGCCGTTGTCTGTGGCGGATCAACAACCAGCGCCGCTGTCGTTTTCGTCTGTGGTGAATCACGACCATCGTCGTCTTCGTTTTGTAGCGAATCAACAACCATGATCGTCGTCTGTGGCAGATCAACAAGCATCACCGTCATCGTTTCCGTCCTTCAGATCTGGTAAAACTAGGGCTACAATTGAAAATCTTTCCCGAATCATAAACGATTATGTGTAATGGATGCATAGTCAATGGTATCGATTTTTCGATGGTTGATAAGTTGGTCGGGGGCAAAAGCATATTAGCTGTGGTGGCGGTTTGGTGGTTAAGGAGAGTGTCATAGATGAAGGTGAATAGAGGAGTACAGTAAACATAGCTGATGGTTGAATTTTGAAGTGGTTTAAATTATGGGTCCTATTGTCAGCAGGCAAAGGGAATCCATGGTGGAAATAAGCAAGCCACATCATTTGATATTATTTATATATGGCGGGAACAGGTTAAAATCAAGTTTACACCCCTAAGATGCAAAAAAAAAATCAAGTTAAAATCATTTGATATCATTTAAAATCATTTGATATCATTTAACAGGTTAAAATCAAGTTTACACCCCTAAGATGCAAAAAAAAAGAGAGAGAGATCATAGAACTTTTAAAACAAAAGGTGTTAGTTTATTGGGTCATAGTGACATTTCCCCCAAAAAGAATGGTAAATTGGTTATTTTGTGTGTTTTTAACGGTGTTAGTCAAAAAGACCAACCATGTAAATTTTAGAAACCTTAAGAACTAATGGTGTAGCATTTTGTAATGTAGTTGGTACCTTTTGAAAACCACAATAATCAGTTCATGAAATATTGTCTTTATTATATAACAATGTCTATAAAATTACTTGTCCGACAAAAAAACACATATATATTGTCAGCAAAGAGATCATGTATACTTCAACTGTCGTGCAGCCTCAAATTGTATTAAATGTCACTATCAAACCTGATTTGAATATTATATATTATATTTTTTACTACAAATTTAGCTTATACCCTCAAAAGCAAGTAAAATCTATAAATTATGTAATTTGTAGTTAATTATACCATATATATATATATATATATATATATATATATATATATATATGGTATAGCATAGTCCCCTTGTAACATCCTGAGATTTGACAGGTATTATCGAACCCTCTTCTATCATTACCTTGTCATTTATAGTCCTTGGGGGTTGGAAGTGAAGAGCCAAGATAAGTTTAAGGGCTAAGTTTGCAAACTTGGGCCAAGAGGGAGTACGCTGCGCGTACATAAGAGTACGCTAAGCGTACTAAGGTCCGCCTTAGTACGCTGGGCGTACACTTGTGTACGTTGGGCGTACTAATGCCAGGGTGAAACCCTAATATTTAGGGTTTGGGGCCTATATAAGCAACATTATGAGCACCAACACCTCCTTTACCTCAGCCTCCATAGATTATACTCGTCTTCCCCAAACCCTAGCCTTTCCTTTGTGTGTTTAAGATTATTGAGTGTGTTCTTGAGTGCTTTAAGAGGAAATTATTGCATCAAAGAGTTGGAGAAAGAGATCAAGCTTGTAGATCTGAAGTTAGCTTGTGCCCAAGAAGCTCCAGAAGGTATAAAGTTCCAAACTATATGTATATATGCATAGATCACACCATTTTACTTTAATAGAAGCATTTCTTGTCCCAAAAGCCATAAGGTGGTGCATGATGTGATTTGGACGAAAAGGGTTGTCCTTCTAGACTCTTGAAAGGACCTTGAGTGATAAAAAATAAGGTCCAATTAGTTGTATGTGTCCCATACATGGAAAAATAAGGTCTTAATGGATTAAGACCAAGCATTAAGAACTTTATGGACGTCCAAAGTGATAAAGTTCATGACTTTATGGATCCTAGGCATGTTAGGTCTTTGGATCTGAAGTTTGGGCTTAAGTGCTTAAGCCATTAAGCACTTAATAAGGTTTTGAAAAACTGTCGAGTACGCCCAGCGTAAATCCAGTACGCCCAACGTACTGGGTCAACCACCCCGATGGTGGTCACCATCTGGACGAGTACGCCCCGCGTACGTCCTCTGTTGGGCCGTTGACAATTGGGCTTAGAGTTTTGGGCTGTTTATGGACTAATTGGATTTGGGCCTTTGTTGGACTTTATGAATAAGATATTTTGGACCAAGTTTTGGATATTGGATCTTGGGATTTGGCCAAATTAGGGAGTTGGGCCCAATTTGGTAATTTGGGCCAATAATGGGCCTTGTATAAGGACTTTCAAGATTATGGACTTAGTATTGGGCCTTGGACCAATAAATGGAATGGACATGATGGATTGTATGGACACTTAGTCAAGACTGTAATGTTGTGTAATGACTTGGTATTTATTATGTGATAGTTCGGGATTTCCGGTGAGACAGCGATCAGAGGTTTTCGGTACTTCGGCACTACTTGCGAGGTGAGTTACCTCACTATACTAAGGGGTCTAAGGCACCAAGGCCGGCCCATTGGATATGATATCCTAGCAGTTGGTGGTATGTTGAGTATAAGATAGTGTTGCATGCTAGTTGCTATGTCAGTTAGGTAGATCTGTAGGACTACCTATGTTATTATTACATGATTACTTGTATGTGCATTAGTTGTGTTATATGTCGACATAATTATGTGGTGGGTTGAGGTGATACTGCTCCGTGCGGTAACCAACAAACCCGGGAGCATTCCAGATACGAGCTGAGGGCCAGGTGGGGCATGCCAGACTCGTATTGTGGGCTCAGGAGCATTCCAGATACGAGCTGAGGGAGACTCGTACTGTGGGCTCGGTGGCAATCCAGATGTGAGATGTGGGCCCGGAAGGCAATCCATACTCACACTGTGGGCGCAGGGGTAATCCATTCTGCAAAGCTGTGGACCCAGTACATGCTGTTATTTGTATATGTGTTATGTGGAGTGTATCGGTATTTTGGGGAACTCACTAAGCTTTCGGGCTTACAGTTTCAGTTTATTGTTTCAGGTACATCAGGGGATCGCGGCAAGGTGAAGGCGTGATCATACATCTCCTCATGTTTTGTTTATGTTTCTGGGGAAACTTTGATATATTATATTTTGAAAACAAGTTTGTAATGATTTAATGGTTTTGGAAATGTTTTTAAAAGTGCAAATTTGGCATGATTTTTATGGGTGTTACACCCCTCAATAGGATTATCGTGATACCTACACAATCTCCCAATAACTTCATGATTAATCTCTTGTGTTTTAACAAACTCAATCAATATCAAACCATTCATGAATAATTATTTAATCATTTAATATATAACACTCAAGTGTCTAAACTTGCCAAAGTGACAGGACTATCACAATTGATAATATGTGCAACTAGGTTTGAGCATGATGGAACCTCGTAATCTAAATTCATTAGTCATTATACCTCTTCACCCACAACCATTATTGCAACAACACCATATTCTATTGTTGAGTTTGTAATACAAGTACTAGCATGGCTTCCACGATCCGTTCTCACGAGTACGTTGCGCGTACCCACATGTACGCCCATCATACGGGCTGAAATGTGAAACCCAACCACATGGAACCAAATGTGCAAACTTTAATTAGGTTAAGCACTAAAATGGAAATACCTGATAATCGGATGTTACACGGATTTATGTACGTTTCAAAGATTTAGAAAAGATGAATGAAAATTGATTACCTCTTAAAACCAGACATCTAAGCTATCAATCGTGCGCTATAGCGGTGCTATAATGGCGCTATAGCGTTTTGCGGTGGTCAATAACTGCTATTTTCAGTTTAGGGTTTTCGTTTTGCGGTACCGCTATTTGCGGTGCTATTCACCGCTATTTCAATAACAGTTATAGTGGCGCTATGGGCGTTATTCCATTTTCGTTCACATTTTGGGCCATTTGGTTACTTTGTCAACGAAAGACTGGTTTTAATGATCTCACTACACTTTCATTTTAAAAAGCCCGAACATATAACATAATTAAAAACATTCAAAGCAACTATGTCTACCGACAACTCTCTTTCTCATCTCTTTCTGTACTCATAACGACTTGAGTTGCTATGGTCGGACTCCGTTAATGTTTTTTTTAAATCGACCCACACCTATGAGGCTACGACTTGGGACTTAACTCCTTAAATCAACCACAACCTACTAATACAATATTGAACCCATGCAATGCGATTAAACTTTATTTAACACTTTGACACTACCTAGTTTTCATATTACTATAATCGAATATTATGTTATGTTTTTATATGACTTTTTAGGTTTGATGATATTAATTCTATATAGACTTATAATATTAATACTCAAAATATATATATTCTATATAAATATAATATAAAATTATAAATTATATGTAATATTAAAAACCGTTATAGCACCGTTATACCACCACGATAACCGTGATCGCAACTAACGGCATGTGACCGCTATTGAAATTTTGACCGCAATAACTACATAGTCAGACATTGATTTAAGTGATGCTTCTTTCAAATGTGTCATTCTCTCAGTCTCGTTCAAATGAAAATAAGAAAAAATGTTTGGTGTTTATCTTCAAAAGTTTGACATTTAATCATATTTAATCCTTTTAGTTCTCCTTTTTCATTTGACCACCATTAAAATTAGTCATGTATTTAAGCTCTAGTGCTTCTTTCAAATTTATCATTCTTTCCCCTTACAACCTCAATCTCTTTCAAATAAAAATAAAAAAAGATGTCTGAGGCTTATCTTCAAAAGTTTGACATTTGATCATATTTAGTCCCTCTGGTCTTTTTTTAATTTTTATTTTTATTTTTAACCATTGCCCCCAAACACTTATTCAACATCCTGAAGTTACTAGATTAACCCTAGCTACAAATCCCCTAACCCAGGTTATCCTTTAGGGTGTTAGTTGGGTAAAATCATGATCAACTATAGAATTTTCACAACATATTAAGTGGACCGTTAAGTTCTCAACATTTAACTTTAAATATAAAATTAATTCATAAAATTATTAAATTAATTTTTATTATGACTATTTTGTTCTTTATTTATTTTTATTAAATTTAAAATTTACCTTAAAACTGGTGTTATAGTTTTAACAAAAATAGATGTTTTAATTAAAATTCTGGGCATTCTCAATCCTATCAAATTTGTTCAAAATAAAGACAACAAAGCATCCTTGTTTAATATTAGGACTTTCATTTAAACAAAACCAATAACCGTCGTTCCCTGGGAATAATCTTTATAATTTGCAAAGTATACATCATTATCTGCGTAATTAGCAAAGAAGACATCATCATATCAATTTAAAATATACCAAGCAAAACAACTAAGCGAAAATGAGGAATGGAATTAGTAAATGGTGTTACGTACATATGGAATAAATGGGATAAAATTACAAATGACGGTACAAGTGAAATCATGTTGAATTTGGTTGAAACAAAAGTGGAAAGAAGGAATGTAATCTAGAATGAAGGATGAAAAAAATCAAAGCATCAAGCAAATTACATATCAAAGGGCTAATGGCCTAGCCGTCTAGCCATATGGAGTGACTCTTTCGTATAAGAAGTCATGAGTTCAAATCTCGATGAAAACATATGTGGTTATTTAGAACTAAGTTAGTTACTTTGCCGTTTTAAAAAAAAATCAAACAAATTACTTAAATAATTTTTATTGTGTTTTTCTTCTTCTTCTTATTCTTTTTTTTTTTTTCAAATTTGGTCTAAATGCAAAATGATTATTTTAAAAAAATATAATAGGTCAAAAATTAGATTTAACGACCGAAAGACTAACCATGTAACAAACTAAAACCATAAGCTAACATGATTGATGTAATAGTTCATGTGCTTTGCCAAAACTTACATTGTTGGTCTAACTATTGAATTTTTGACATGATTCATCCTTATGGTTTGCAGTTATTTTACGGATGATTTTTAAACCGTAAAATATTAGAAACAAAGCTGTTAGTTCTCTTTAGAATGCATGCTTTGTCCTTCTATTCAATATTTTGTTATTTTTTGTTTCATATTTATTTGTCTGCCATGTTTGTTCATCACCATCAACCATCGCACCGCTAACCATCAACCACCAACCACCATTAATCACTATCACCATCCAACATCATTTACAACCACCACCATCACTAATCATCACCATCGAACAAACATCAACTCCACCACCACAACCACTGAATTCATGAATGTTGCCACCATCCCCACCACCATAATCACCAATCACCAAAACCATAGTTTTTTGTTTAAATTACTACAAATCATAAGATATAGACTATAATTACCGATCAGTTTCGTATTTAAGACTCAATCATCACTAACATCACCGCTATCACAAATACCACCACTAGTATTGTGTTCATGTGACCACCACCACTATTCACCACCATTTTTAGCTTTAAAACAAAGAAAAAACTGAAAAATATACCTACAAAATATGAAAACAACCAATTATCAAATTATAAACACCACCATCTTTCACCGCCACCAGCATGGGCGGATCCAATGTAGAGCCCGGGGTAGTCCGGGATACCCCTCAATTTTTTTGCGAGAGTGTAATTTTTCTAGGAAAATTTCGTTTTATATAGTGTATATATACGTTCCCTTTCACTTATAAACACAAACACACATGTGGTTTGCTGGATAAGGCGCTGGTATATAGAAGTAGAGGCCTCAGGATCAAATCTCTCTCCTTATGTGTTCTTTGTTTACCTTTTATTTTTATTTTTTCAACTATTCTATCCTACATCGCCAAACAAATGTAAATTCAGTCATTTTCTTCCATTATATTAACCTGATATCCTCATGTTTCATTTGATATCTACTTTGATTCCTACATCGATTCAAGTATCAAAAAGATACTTCAATTTCATATTTATATAACAAGACTTGAGGTTACTTAAGGATTCGATTAAGATTTAGGTTTAAAACCGAAACCAAACTGGGGAAACCCAAGTACCCCGGAAAAAAAACTTGGGCAACCCGAAAAAAATTTGGGATACCCCTTTACTTTAACTCTGGCTCCTTTACTTTAACTCTGGCTCCGCCACTGGCCACCAGCCCCACCACCATAACCACCAATTACCAAAATATGAAAATGAAAACCACAAATTAAATTATTTACAACCTAACACTCATGAACAAACTTGAAAACCAAAACCGATTTATCCGTAAATTGCAACCCAAAATTGAAAACCTACCGAGCTGAAGTCGAAAGAAGAAAGCAAGAGATATGGGAGGTAGGTTTTGGCGACCAGAGTGTTGGAGCCGCAGTTATAGGAGGTGAAAGATACATAGATAACCGACGAGTTTTAATGGGAGAGGAAGACAAATTTGCTTCAAGGTGTTGGTGGTTAGAGAGGGTGTGGATTCCAGGGCGGTGCCGGAGCGTTGGAGCTATAGCTGCCGACGACAGAGATGTTGAAAGCTAGAGAGAAAAAATATGGTGATGTGGTTTCCTCCAATTTGATGGGTGTCGGCGACTAGAATAATACTTTTTAGTGTTTCTTTAAGCTATTTTAGAAATGGTCCCCGCATTAGTAGAAAATGTCAATAAAATAGAGAAAACAATGAGAGGTATAAAAGTCATTGTACTCGCCTTTAATAGACCAATACAGACAGAATTTGCCTCATGGATGTCCAGTGCAACAATTTCAAATCACATGGATAGTCATGTTAAAGATTCAATAATAAGATCAAATAATATAAATTTGGGAAAAACATAAGGACTAAATATGTAATTTACTTTAAAATATAAAATTATATTAAAGTTATGACTTTTTTGAAACCAGACGGACCATTCCTACAATTTTGTCAAATGAAATTTAAACGGAACGAGATAAGGTTTGAAGCATGGTTAAAACTAAAGTGAATGTATGGTGAGCAATACAAAGTGTGAAAGCACATACCGTGTGGGACCCACCCCACCACCCAACACAAAGACCATCGGACCGGAGCCGTTAATGATGACCCGAACCCGTAATTTGCTCGTATTCCGAGAGACAAAAAGAGATGCGAAAGAAATACCCAAAAACAAAACCACACTCCACACTGTTTATGTCCGTAGATTTCGACAACATTACACCAAAATCAACTTCACCTAATTCTCTCTTAACCGCTCCAAATTTACAAAAAACCCATCTTTTTCAGTTTTCACTTACAAGATGATTCTATTTCCACCCCTTTCTTCTTTCTACACAACCCATATACTGGATATTATTATTATATTTCTTTAATTTATTTTTCTTTCCCTTCCTTTTCCTCAGTTTCTTCGATTTGTTGATCTGCTTTTTTTTTGGGTGAGAAATAAGTTACTGTTGATCGGTCACTCATGAGTTAGCTCATGGCCTCCAATCTTTCATTCGCAATCCTAGTGAGAGAGAAGAGAGAGAACGTTTTCGATTTCGATGTCGATTCCTCTAGGCTGAAAGATAGTTAATTTGTATAATTTCCTATGTATAGATTATAGGCTGGGGATATAGAAACCCATCAGATATAATTTGTGGGTTCGTTTGTTTTTGGCATGGGGTGTTTTCCATGCTTTGATTCATCAAACAAAGAGGGAAATGGTGTAAAGGAAGTGTCTAAAAAGGATATTGGGAAAGAAGGTTCGGCTCCTCATCAATCTCATCATGTCAATAGGGTTAGTTCAGGTAATAAAACACTTTCCCATCTTCAAATTCTCCTTCTTTATGTATTCTTTCTTCTTCTATTCATCTTCAATTTCTAGTCTGATCTGTTGAGTCGATTAGTTTTTTGATTCGATGAACTGGGTCTCAACAAGATTCTGAATTGGTTCGAAACAATGGTTCTGTTTAAGAATGTATCTCCAAAGATCTGCTTGAAAATTTGGGGATGTCTAATTCCATCATTGTTATAGGAAAATCAAAATCCCGTGTTAGTTTGGATCCTAAGAAGGACCAGATGGTTACAAAAGATGGACAAACAGCAAACATTGCAGCACAAACGTTTACTTTTCGTGAGCTTGCTGCAGCAACAAAGAACTTTCGCCCTGAGTCTATGTTAGGAGAAGGTGGTTTTGGGCGTGTTTACAAAGGTCGTTTGGATAGCACAGGACAGGTGATTTTGAAAAAAAAAAAAATCATGTCTTTTTTATAACATGCTTAAATGTTGAATGGTTTGTTCTTGTTGTCGGCATTCTGAAAAGAAGTTGTTTACTTTGCAGGTAGTTGCTGTGAAGCAGCTTGATAGAAATGGTCTTCAAGGGAATAGAGAGTTTTTGGTGGAGGTTCTTATGCTTAGCCTGTTACATCACCCAAATCTTGTGAATTTGATAGGTTATTGTGCAGATGGAGATCAACGCCTCCTAGTTTATGAGTTTATGCCTTTGGGATCACTTGAAGATCATTTACACGGTTAGATTTCTCATTTCTCTTAGTATTATTTTGAAATCCATCAATGTTAGTACCTTTATCAAGTGTTTCCCTTTGAGCTTGGCTTTTCACAGCAGGTTGAATGGATGGAAACTGAAAATTCCAGTTACAAGGGTTTGGAATGTTGATCACATTGTAGCTTTTCTAGAACCATTCTTTACATTGTATTAGAGCCTAAAGCCTTAATAATAAGAAGGAAAAGCCTGCTCAAGTGTTGTTCCTTTTTGACTTAATGGAATCGATGGGGACAGGTGGACTTAGTCCTGTATAAGCTATATATGTTTCTTTTTTACTTAATGCAGAAATAATGAAAAGTGAGAAAAAGAGGGTTTTTCCCATTTGTCCCTTACTTTTTACAAAGTTGCCTTTTTTTTTTCTTCCATTTCCCCAAATTTGCCGTGATTTTCTCACAAAATTTAAAGCATATTTTATCTATATACAACACTTCATTGGGAAAAATAGAAACAGGGGCCTTGCACCATAATCAGACCACTAGCAATCATTTTAGGCAACATAGAACTATTTAAGGATTTACCAAATCTATTGCACTCTTCCACAACAAGCATCACCTTTGACAAAAATAGCCATCCACCAGTTGCTGTTCTGTTTGACCCTATATATGTTTTGTTGACCCTTGATTTCCATTTGTCAATTATTTTTGTTTTTTGTGAGTTGCTTGTGTTAGGCTATCTTATTGCTTAGGTAATAAGTACCTCACTTGTTATGTATGCATATTCTCATTGATGACTTAATCGGCTACTAAAGTTGCTGATTTCGTAATTTTCTTTCTTTTATTTAGAGACTATATATGATAATCCGATTCCATTGCTTTTCCTTGAGTTCATGGTGATTTTGACTATTTTTAAAGATCTTTTGGTTTCATTTAGTTGAATAGTAGACCTAGAGAAGAAACTAGCTCTACCCTTAGTCTTATTTAAGTTGTACTTATATTGATAATCTTTTTTCTGTTTATAATTTACCGAACAATCAAACTGTTGTTCACTTTATAGACATGCGTGAGAGTAGTGTACTATTTACAAGAATTATATATTGAATAGTCATATGTGGTCTGCTTTTAAGGACATATGTTACCATGACTTGCTTTTTGCAGCTTCTCTTCATATTCATCCTAAAATTTTCTATTTGTCAGCCTTAGTTTCTGGAGATATGGTCATGAAATAGCAACATACTTTTCTCTTTGTCTCACTTATGTCAAAGTAGAAAGTACCCCACTTTTTTCTTTAGTTAATTACACTTTGACTTTCTTGAGACATCTCATCAACATTTATGTTAACCATGTGCTGATGTTAGTTCAAAACATCAACGATACTAAATCATGTGCAAAGTATATTTGTAAATGTTTAGGGATGATTGTTGTATCTTGTTAACTTTTAACTTTTGCAGATAGTTTAATATTGTTGCATAAAAACAAAATGTTGATCAAAAGGACCACATTTGATTATTCTCATTAAGCTTGATCAATAATGATCATATGTATATAAACAAACTTACTTAGAACTTACAATTATGTTTTTTTTTTTTTTTCAGATCTTCCACCAGACAAAGAACCTTTAGACTGGAACACAAGAATGAAAATTGCTGCTGGTGCAGCAAAAGGTTTAGAGTATCTACATGACAAAGCAAATCCTCCAGTCATCTACAGAGACTTAAAATCATCCAACATTCTTCTTGATGAAGGATACCACCCTAAATTATCTGATTTTGGGCTTGCAAAACTCGGTCCAGTTGGCGATAAAACACATGTCTCCACCAGGGTGATGGGCACATATGGCTACTGTGCTCCTGAATATGCCATGACAGGTCAGCTCACCTTGAAATCCGATGTTTACAGCTTCGGTGTTGTCTTCCTTGAACTTATAACTGGAAGAAAAGCCATCGACAATACCCGTGCTCCTGGAGAACACAATCTTGTTGCTTGGGTAAGTCATAACTCATAATACTCTCCTTCCTGTGGGCCCCGTTTGTTACAGGACATGACAAAACAGGTTGTACTGCATGAGACTCTGAGAGGTTATTTCTTTTTTGCTTAATGGACTTAAAGGGTTAAGCACTTAATTTGGATAGCTATACAAGGGTGTTTCTTTTTTACTTAATCTGGATAGAACAACTTAATTGGTTAAGCCAAAAAACCTGGCTTAATGTATTAAGAATTATGTGTTTGACGTATTTATGGAAAAATTGTAGGCACGACCACTTTTCAAGGACAGGAGGAAGTTTCCAAAAATGGCGGATCCATTATTGCAAGGGCGTTATCCAGTGAGGGGACTTTACCAAGCACTTGCAGTTGCAGCAATGTGTTTACAAGAACAAGCTGCAACAAGACCTCTGATTGGTGATGTTGTGACTGCTTTAACATACTTAGCCTCTCAACCCTACGACCCTGAAGCGGCTCGAGCCGAGAGAAGTGCCAGAGGCAGCGGCTCAGGTACACCCAGGAGCCGAGCTGACCGGAGGAACCCCAGTGATGGTGGTCTTGATGACTCCTCCATGCCTCGGGCCCATGGTTCGCCTTCCACTTACAAGAACTCACCTGAGTACAGAAAGAGGGAGTCTTTGAGAGAGATCAACACCCGTGGTGCTGATCTTGCGGATGGTGAAACCAGTAATGGTGGTGGTGGCTCTGGCCGGAAATGGGGGGTGGTGGAGGATTCTGATTCTCAGAGGAACAGTCCGGCCAATACCAGTAGCAGAGGCCGGAATCGGGATCTTGAGAGGGAGCGGGCGGTGGCCGAGGCTAAAGTTTGGGGGGAGAATTGGAGAGACAGAAAGAGAACAAACACAACTAGTGGTGGTGGTAGTGGTAGTGGTGGTGGTGGCGGCGGTGGTGGTAGTTTTGATGCTACAAACGAGTGATGGGGTTGAAGGTTGGTGGTTACATGTGTTTTTTTTTTTTCTGTTTTTTTTTTCCTGGCAAATAAGATTGAGTTCTTATGATCAACTTTAGCTCTACTTGCTGATTGTTCTTCGTATGTTGGTTTAACGATATTGTGGTGGCAGATAAGAGAGGGGAAGTGCAGTTGGGAGGGGTGTTGACTTTTGTAAAAAAAAATTAAGATTTGCTTTGACTGTTTATGCAACCTTCGTAATTATATCATGGATTTGAGTTTAAAAAAAAAAGCTTGGTGGCTCGTGGGTGGGATTTTTTGTTTGTGTTTTTTGCGTATCTATGTATGTATCCTCTTGTATCAGATGTCCGTATGGGTACAATTTGAATCGAATTCTGATGTTTCATGTACACTACTATATACTTATCAGTTTTTTTTTCATGTATCTATTGATTTTAGTGTCACCAAGCATTGTGTAATAGAAACTAATATGTGAGCTAAGGGGTTTATAATTTGTAGTCGATATATTATATGTTTGGTGTGTGTGTGTAACATCCATAAAAATTAGGCCAAATTTAAACTTTTTAAAACATTTAGAAACCAACAGTTATTACCAATTTGTTTTCAAAACAGTTCTATATCAGAGCATCCCAGAAACATAGTCATAAAAAAAACGAGGAGATGTATAATTACGCCTTTGTCTTCCTGCAATCATCTGATGTACTTGAAACAATAAACTGAAACTGTAAGCCCGAGGCTTAGTGAGTTCTCCCAAAATACCGATACACTGCACATAACAAATATACAAATAACAGCATGTACTGGGTCCACAGCTTTACAGATTGGATTACCCCTGGGCCTACAGTGTGAGTCTGGATTGCCTTCCGGGCACACAGCTCACATCTGGATTGCCACCGAGCCCACAATACGAGTCTCCCTCAGCTCGTAACTGGAATGCTCCCGAGCCCACAGTACGAGTCTCCCTCAGCTCGTATCTGGAATGCTCCCGGATTTGTTGGTTACCGCATGGAGCAACATGACCTCAACCCATCCCACATAATATGTCAACATATAACACAACTAATGCGCATACAGATAATCACATAACAACACAAGTAGTCCTACACATCTACCTAACTGGCATAGCAACTAGCATGCAACACTAACTCATACTCAACATACTACCAACTGCTAGGATATCATATCCAATGGGCCAGCCTTGGTGCCTTAGACCCCTTAGTATAGTGAGGATAACTCACCTGGCACTGCTGAAGTCCCGCGGAAGAAACTCCAGCTGCTGGTTGACAGATTCCCGAACTGCCAACATCAAACAATACCCAATTAATAATTGGGTTCCAAGCCCAAGGTCCAAGTCACACTCTAAAGGCCCAATAGTCAAGTAATGGGCCAAAGCCCAACATATGTGTCACACCCCCAAAACCTATGAACGGCGGAAATGTTCTGGGGTGGAGGACGTCATGTACAGTATCACAACAATGCAAGTAGTAAACAAGCAACAACATCATCCATTGCATTAATAATATATTTTCATACAAGTGTGTTCTGTCAAGTTTTAAAGACACCAAAACAATATACATCAAAATATAAGATGAGTCTGGAACGAGCTCCATCTTCTCAAAACCTGGCTCCGGTACCTGTCTACTGGTGACCTGAGAATACAAGTTATTTTGAAAGAGTTTATCAGCTTTAAAGCGGGTGAGATCATAAGTATATTAGTGTCTGTGTTTGTATGAAAGCATTTGTAAGATGTTTTTGTAAAATGTACTGTATATGTTTGTAAAAAGTTTGTATTTGTTTGAACTCTCCTAGAAAACCCTATGTTTCCTACTAAAAGTAGCCTTCTACCAAGGCATCTAGTGTCTGTGTGTGTATCTCTTGTAAAAGTGTGTATTTTCCCAAATCCGACTATCATTAACCAAAAATATAGTTTTTCATCATTGTTTATTGTGTGAATAACACAAAGTAAAATGTAAGGGAAAATGTTATAGTACTGTAGTGCTGTATTAAGTAACTACTGCTGTACTAACTACCTTAAGCCAAATGTAATATTTTAAGGTAACATGTGATCGGCCTATATCTTGCTACCGACTCAATAGTAAAACGACAATGTAAGATGCCGTAAAAATGATGTTTGGCACCCGTAGACTTGCAAGTCCCACTGTAGCGAGCAGCAAGGTATAGGATAGTCAATGCAGTATAGATCTATACACAAACTCATACGCTCCCCAATTAAGGAGATTCTGATACAAAAACAGTCATGGCAGGTAGTGCCATGCCCTGTTTAATGGCTCACATAAATGTATTAATGTAAATGTTATGTGATTTGTGTGCTAGCTGTATTGTGTTCTTTCTCTGTCTAGCCTGTATGTTTGTTTCTCATCATAGTGTCTATTGTTTGTTTCTCATCACTCTGTATTATGTTTGTTTCTCATCACTCTGTTTTATGTTTGTTTCTCATCATAGTATGTATTGACTCATGTATGAACTGACATCATTGTATGTTTCATTGTTCTAGTAATAGTATCTTCCTAAACTACCCCTATGGTAGCTTACTAGCAATGTATGAACATGTTTGTATACCCTTGCTACCCAAGGGCATGTAACTAAATGAAAGAAATAACCTTTTATATCCATATACATATACATAATATATAACTAGGATTCAAACGACCTTCGGACAACTAACCTTGATACCCTAAGTCCACAACCAAACAAGGAACAGGAAGTAAGGTAGGCTAGCAGTCCTAAGTCCTTTCAATCCTACTTATATAATTATATCTATATAGATACACAGAATATAAGTTTAAAAGAGTTTAAGTAAAAGTATTTGATAAGTAAAAGAGTTTGTAAAGTAGTTTGAGGTAAGACAGTTTGATAAACAGTTTGAAAAGTAAGAAAACCATTTGTTTGGTAGTTATTAATCATAGGTGATTGATATAATAACTATAGTTGTTCAACTTGTATCCCCCCCCCATAAAAGCATTTAAAAACATTTAAAAGGTTAATTAAGGGGTATGAACTCACCTGTAGTGAGTGGTTTGGATGAACTGAAGAAATAGGATTGTTAGGTGTCAAGTGAAGACTTGTACACACACAATGATCCTATTTAACATATAAATACACATATATGTATTCAGTTAGTCTTTAAACAACTAATTTATAAAGTTAAGACATCCTAAGACAAGTTAAACACTTTATATAAGTGTTATAAGTCCCAAGGATTGCATCTAAGTGTTGTAGGACCAAGCTATGGGTTTAGGGTTCAAGGGAACCCCTTTCATGAGTTTACGGTTTCTGACCATAACCACATGAGTTTACGGTCGTAAACCCATGAGTTTACGGCGTAAACTCACACCCCCTTTGACCATTTGTTGTTTTGAAGGTTTCTAAGTCCTTAGAAGTGTTTCCTCATGAAGTATAAGCCTTAGGAAGAAGTTAGGGCACCATTTCACTCCTATATGGAGTTTACGGCCCTAATACCATTTCCCTTTGGGTTTACGGCCGTAAACCCTTATGGATGATCGTATTTTGATGTTTTCAAGTCCTTAACATATCAATGAAGGGATCTATGCTAGTTACCAAGGCTTAGGGTAAGCTAGGGCACACATTGGTACCCTTTTTAGGGTTTACGGTCCAAGAACATCTTAGACCGTAAACACCTTGATCTTGGTGTTTCTTGGGTGTTTTCTTGTTATAATGAAGTGTAGCAAGCTTAAACATACTCTAGGATAGAAGTAATTACAATATAGAAGCTTGAAATGAGCCAAAAGTCCAAGAACACTAGTGTGTGTTCTTGGTGTTCTTGGTGAAACTTGAAGATTTGATCTTTTGGAAAGATCTAACGGATAGAAGTGTGTTAAATCACTAGATTAAGTGATATACTAACTTAAAAGGGCTAGAAACACTTACTAGATTGAAGATCTTGAATAAAACTTGGATGATACTTGAGAGGATTTGATATTTGTTCTTGAGAATTTGGAAAAATGATATAAAATGACTAAGTGTCATATATATTCTCTCAATTTTAGGGTTTTTGGCTGTAAATATTTTATTCAGGCAGTAAACTCCAATTTCTTGGAGTTTAGGAATAACAGTGTTGCACTATAACCCTAAGGCATCCTCTCTCCTAATATCTCCTAAAGTGTAAATCCTAAAATACTCAAACTCATTCCAAAAAGTCTGAAAATTTAACAGTAATTGTTTTGACTTCTATTGACTTGATATGTTATACAGAATAGAAATTTCGGGTTGTCACAATATGGCCCAATTTTCCAAATTGGGCCCAGACCTCTACATGGTCTTTCCTTAAGGCTCATCCATTAATTCTAGTCCAAACTATTGGTATACTAATGACCCAATATCTCATAATCATAAAGGCCCAGTTATGGCCCAATTTTCCAAATTGGGTCCAAGTCCTTTACATGGGCCTTACCCTAAAACTCATCCAATTATTTTGGTCCATTTACTTGTTCTTGGATAGCCCATCAATAGTCCAACCACCAAGGCCCAATAGGAAGGCCCAAATCAAGGCCTAAGTGAAATTAGGGTTTTCACATGAAATGACGATTAGGGTTAAATGTTTCTTACTTAACCCATTAAGGACTTAATCCATTAAGTCCAATATTGCCTTAGGTTAATTTGCCAATGATTATTATTTAATATTTCAAGTTTATTAAATAATTCCCGTGTGTGTCCCGATTAATTCCCAAAAATTAGGGTTTTATGTCATCAGGGTTTTCCAAACCCTAATTAGGGTTTTCCAACCCAATACTAGCCCATTAGTCAATTGGTTGGGCTTTTAGGTCACTTTGGGCCCACTAGGGTTTTGTTAGGCCCATTCTGTCCAAGCATCCCAAGGGTCAATACGCAAGCTAGGCACACCGCCACCCAACACGGCGGCTGGTGGCGGCAGGAGGCGGCAACCACTACCTTACGGTGGTGGTTTAGAGCTTTCTTACTATTCCGATCGATTACAATGTTACAACACCATATCCAAACACACACACACTAAGCTACACACACATAAATAACACACACACACACGGCCGCAATGTGGCGGAAGGTGGTGGTCGGAGGTGCTAGCCACTACCTCACGGTGGTGGTGGTGGCCCTCTTGTGAAATCCGACTGAGACAACCACCCACACACGACACACACACACGGAGTTAACACCATACAACAGCAGTACACGCACATCCTTGCCCGGAAAATAAAACCAACACCCACCTGTGGTGGGTGGCGACGGTAACATCACCGTAAAACAGGCAGCGGCAGCGACTATCGGCGGCTGGTG